CATCTGCAGCTGTTTAACATTAGTTTCAARAACATCTAAACAAACTTCTTAGTTCCACTAATGATCAAATATAAATTGACTAAACCTTGGTAGAAGGTTGTAGGGTTCAGCTTTTCTGCAGGCCCRCATCCTTAATTGACCCTGTAGGACATTCGTACAGACTGTTGTTGAATTATACTATATTGAAATACACTATTTTCTCACCCATCCAAATGACTGCACCAGTGCACAAAGTAAGGTTCATAAAGACATGGATGCAGAGTCTGGTGTYGATGAACTGGATTGGCCWGCACGGAGTCCTGACCTCAACCCCATAGAACACCTTTGGGATGYATTAGCAGAGACTGAGAGCCAGACCTTCTGTCCAACATCAGTATGTGACCTCACAAATGTGTTTCTGGAAGAATGGTCAAAAATCCCCATTAACACTCCTAAAGCTTTTGGACAGCCTTCAGAAGAGCTGAAGCTGTTCTAGCTGCAGAGGGTGGACTAACGTCATAATGAACCCCATGGATTAGGAATGGGATGTACCTTAAMATCATATGTGAGTCAAGGCAGGTGAGACAATACTTTTGGTTATAAAGTGTATCTACAACAGGCTCTGGTCCTTTGAAGGGGCCTGACGGACTGTAGACAGACACAGGTACTGATAAATGATCCAAATCTAAGGTTTGGGAAAGCTCTCTTCGTCCTGAAAAGGGAAACTCTAAGTYCACTGTTTGGAGTCCTAACTGGACACAATCTTCTCAACCAGCACAAAATGGTGATGGAACTCCATGACAATGGTCTGTGTGATGCCTGTGGCATTGAACTACAGACCTCTTTGCACTACTTAGACCACTGCGTGGCCCTGAGCAGTCAAAGAAAAMAATTCTTGAGGACCTCTTTATGGATCCTGAGAAGCTSAAAAKACTGAGTTTTTCTAACCTGGTGCCCTTCATCGGAGTAGYGGGACAGGCCAGGAAGAAGGACTGGAGATAATGTTGGAGACCAGACTGAGATGTTTGGACATACTGTATCTAGAAAAGGGACAGTGGGTGTATTGAACATGTCCAGAGGAGGGACAGTGGGTATACTGAACATGTCCAGGCTGTTAGGTCCCTGTATGACCGGTACCAGAGCTTGGTCCACATTGTTGGTAGTATGTCGGACTCATTTCCGGTGAGAGTTGGACTCCAACAAGGTTGTCCTTTTTCACCGATTCTGTTCATAACTTTTATGGACAGAATTTCTAGGAGCAGCCAAGGTGTTGAGGGGATCCGTTTTGGTGACCTTAGGATCACATCTCTGCTTTTTGTGGATGATGTGGTCCTGTTGGCTTCATCAGATCCTGATCTCCAGCTCTCACTGGAGCGGTTCACAGCCGAGTGTGAAGCAGCCGGGATAATGATCAGTGCCTCCAAATCCCAGACCATGGTCTTGAGCCAGAAAAGGTTAGGGTGCTTCCTCCAGGTCAGGGAGGAGGTCCTGCCCCAAGTGGAGGAGTTTAAGTATCTCAGGGTCTTGTTCAGGAATGAGGGAAGAATGGAGCAGGAGATCAACAGATGGATTGGTGCTGCATCTGCAGTGCTGTGGGCGTTGTACCAGTCTATCGTGGTGAAGAGAGAGCTGAGCCAGAAGGTGAAGCTCTCAGTTTACCAGTGGGTCTACGTTCCTACCCTCATCTATGGTCAGGAGCTTTGGGTAGTGACCGAAAGAACGAGATCAAGTGGCCAAAATGAGTTTATTTCGCAGGGTGTCTGGGCTCTCCCTTAGAGATAGGCTGAGAAGCTCAGTCATCCAGGAGGGACTCAGAGTAGAGCCGCTGCTCCTCCACGTCCAGAGGAGCCAGTTGAGGTGGTTCATCTGGTTAGGATGCCTCCTGGACTCCTCCCTGGTGAGGTGTTCTGGACACGTCCCACTGGGAGGAGACCCAGAGGAAGACCCAGGACACGCTGGAGGGACTATGTTTCTCAGCTGGCCTGGGAACACCTTGGGATTCCCCCAGAGGAGCTGGTCCAAGTGMRTGGAGAGAGGGAAGTCTGGGTCTCTGCTMAGGCTGCTGCCCCCYAGACCRYACCCRYGATAAGAGGAAGAAAACMGACGGACAGGCWGACGGTCAGATAAATCACACTGAGGTCTCACATCTGTTTCACAAGAGAGAGCTGAAGGTAACTAACCGTAACTAACACTAACCATAAGTAACCCTAACACCCACAAACACAAGGACAACATGTAAACTCGACACAGAAAGAACGCTGGTTTGAACCTAGAACCTTCTTGTTGTGAGATGCCAGCACCCACCATAAAACCATTGTGCTACCAGGGTGTAAATGACAAAAAACCCTGTTAAAAGCTTAACTTTATGACAGGAAATGTAAATAAGAAAAGAAATGTGTAATGTTGAACATTCATGGCTTCATTCTGTCAGGAATCTGGGTGTCATTTTTATTTTCTTTGTAAACCAGACTAACAGATGAACCAGTTGTTAAACCAGGACTGATGAAGTCTAACCTCTCTACTAAAACCTGGTTTTATTACCTCTCAGTTGGATCATTGTGAGGCTTGATCTGTTGCTTTAAATAAACCCTCCCAGTCCAGAAGCAGCAGCTTGGATTTTAACACAAACTACAACAAGAACACAGAACCAATCCTGGTTTCTAACCCAATTTTGGTGGTAAGGTGGACCCAGAAGGCAGGCTGAWAGGCAGGCTCAAGAAAATAATAAACTTTAGGAAAGAAATAACGCTGATGTGGRGGCAGAAACTAACAAAGAGCACTTGAGCACACAGCGAGCAGACCAAACAAAGAACATATGAGGGAGTGGAAGAAGTGAGCAGTAACAGAGTGATGGGATCAGTGGAAACTGGAGACAGCTGTGATGATTACAAGTACAAACAGGTGAGACAACGATCAGGAAAGACCAGAACAGACAGAGGTACGAGACGAGCATGAGAGACATGAGACAAACACCAGAGGGAGACAGAGCACAAGACATGAGACACCAGGGGCCTCGTGTACAAAGACTTGTGTGGATTTCTTACTGAAACCTGARGTACGGTCAAATCCAGAAAACAGCGTACGCACAAAAACATCCAGATGTATCAAACTGTGCGTACGCCTGAATCCACACACATTTCTTTTGTACATCACAATTAACGTGGACCTGAACACAGGTAAGACTCCTCCCCTGACACGCCTTCATTAACATTTGTTAAACACATGCTAATTACTTCCTGCATGTGTGAAGGACATGTTT